ATATATATATATATATATATATATATATATATATAGTAGGAACCACTAGTTTGCCTACAACAACTAAATTGAATTAGAAACAACTACAAATAACGAAGTTATTACCTTCAAGTTGTTGTATTTATCCAAAACTTTGGGATCTACGCAAAGAAGTTGGTCAACTAATTCGTACATGACGAAATCAACGAATGTGATCTGTAAAGACGACACAATACAATGCAACATATTATAACTGACTAGAAAGAAATAATGCTTGGAACCAATAACTTAAGGTTATTCAATACCACTCACGCACCAGGGATTAAAACTTACATTTCCTCCTGTATACCAGTCGTTATCACCAAGAAATTTTGAAAAAGCTGCAAGCATCTCATCAATGGTCTTTAAAAAGTCTTTCTTCATTTCTTCCTATACGAACATAAATACACGAAATATGAGCAACGTTTATTGGACGAGTATACATTTTTTTATAAAAAATACATGAGCATTTGTTACTGACAACGAACTTGTTCAGTTATGTATGGGTTTATGACTTATGTCAATCGACTTTACTGTGTCAATAAGGACGATCGGGCTTATTGATCACATTGTTAAATATAGTTTTTGATATCATATCTCATATGGAACGGATTCAAAACGGGCTAAAACAGCAATTCATGATAACAAGTTATTATTTTGTTGTTTGTTACTTAAAAGTGAAAATTGATGAACTTTTTGTATATTGCCATATGTAAAAAATGGCATAACCATCAGGAAATTAGGAATATTTAAAACATTATAAAACAAATTTACTCGAATTATTTGCACATGATTGGTATGCATATTAGAGAATAGTTTGTCTTAGACGTCAGATAACGATTGCAGAATTAAACAAATTACCTCTATCAATAAATAAATTCTGGTAATGTTTCAAAACGTCTGAACATGTTATATATTATTCTTACCCATTTAGGATTGTAGAAATGACGAACCATATAGTTAAAAGATCCATTGACTGTTCAGCCATAATGTCAACTTTCACCATTTCTTTCTCAGAATTTCCTACTACAATAAATGTATAGTTGGGATTTGGTTTAGCAATCTGAGCGTCTCAAACGATAAATTGAAACCAGTTACGAAAAACAAATTATTTGTAATAGAGCATCAATTCGATTTTGCAGTATACTCACATAGATTGGCTTTTCTTGCAAGATATCTCAACACAGCATTGCTCTGTGTTATTTTAATGTCTCCATCAATCAAATACGGCAACTACAGGCAAAACAATCCATGCATGGCACAGTCCCCGTTAGTTATAAAATTTAAGATATATAGTTTTGCTTATAGTCATATAGTCACAAACATGTCAGAAATATGGATCCAGATGCTTGATTGTGATTGTTTGACATTAAAATGGCTGACATTTATTTTTTCTCGTATCTGATCGTCAAAAGAGTACTTTTCCACACTGAGAGATAATGTTCTGAAATAACATTAATTAAAACAAAATGACAACCATTGGGCCATTTTGAATCAGATCATCATTTATGACATGATGTATAATGAATATACAAAATGTTAGCATAATCTCTCAAAGCATACTTGTAGAAAATGGCCGACGGTCAGTCATGTTGAATCCAATCTGAAAAACAAATTTACGTGCATCAAGTTTGAACAAAATCTGTAAATAGCCAAGATCCGGTTCCAGAATGACATAAATGCTTGATTTTAATGATTTTGCAGTACAAATATGGCCGCTATTCGGCCTTCTTGAATCAAATTGTAAAACAAATTGATGTGCATATACATAATATTATTTATGATGTATGAGTGCAATCAGTCCGGACATGCCTAACATATAAGCCCGGACGCAAGCACGCACACTTGGACACACGGACGCGCACTTCATACTACTTCAGTTATATAATTTAACGCAACGTCTGATCACGTGGCACAAATATTAAACATAGACTGGAAGGTTGCAGTACCCGACCAGAAACATGCGCAGAGTGAGTAAATATATATTATGAAGATCATAAACGAGGTATATGCAATGCTACGAAAAATATGATTATGGTTATTTTTTACAGATTATATTTCAACTATGGCTGAGATATGAGGCAACAATCAATGCATGCACGAACAATTACAGAACTACCTAATTACTTTGATTTTTTAGACCGAAAATTAAAAATCTTAAAATAAATAATACGTGCAGACTCCTTACCTGAACTTATCATCATTTAATTTGGAGACAGACTCCAACACATGTTGAGTCTCAGAGTAATGTCTCAGATTAATATGTGTATCCACGCTTAAAACCTCATTAAAACTGATAACCTTTCAAAACATTGAGAGCTTTGATAATGATTGATAAGCGTGAAAAAGAACGAAATGTCTGCGTTTATAAACATAATACCAATCGAATCATTCCTCGCGTAATATTATAAAAGGCGTGCACAATCTATCACCTAATTATGACACGCGTACTGTACTAGAATACTTACGTTTGGGAAATCGAGTCCCAGAGTATCCTTAACACTTGTCCAGGCGTCACGATTATATCCTGTAATAAAAATGAATGAAATTGAAATTTTCTGAAGACTATATTTTGATAATGGGCGTGAACATCTGTCAAATGGGTTGCTATGATTTGTATTTACCTGGAATGAAGAGTTAACATTCAAGCAAGCAATAATTAGTCAAATTGATGCCATAATTAATATTTCGTATGGATCCGTAATAGCTACAATTTATTCAAAAACAGACGAATGCATTTTCGATTATGAGGGTACGTATTTGGTATAAATTATATCAAATATATGCATATATGCAAATTACATCATGGAAATTAACAACTTGTGACATTGTTGACTTCTTTCAGAGTTTTTCACCTATATAGGACATTGATTGGCGTATTAATTCTGCACACCAAAAGCCACTATTTTGCGACGCCCATTAACATGTGATTGGTTATACCAGACAAAGAATTGGTTCTTACCTGGTCCAACTACATATTTCCTGTCTTCATATTCCATTCCTGCATATTCCATGAGAAGGCGGACAGGCTGGGCAAGCTGAAATAGATTAGCGTATTTAAATGAAACGTGTCCTATTGGTTGTAATGACATGATTACAATACCGGGACATAAACACAATTGAAAATACCGCTCGCATCTCTGACTGGTTTAAAATATATGTATACAAATATAGCATGCTTTGTTCAACAATAAATTGGAGAAACTTATTCAGTAGGTTATTTGATACTCTTATTCACTGGTATGCAGATAAATCTGCTGCCGGAGTTGTAATGCCTTGACAAATCGGTAGATTGGGACGCTAATCAGTGTTTATTAACACATTAAATACGTAAATAGCGACTATAATTTAGTGGATATCATGTTGAATTCGATTCGTTGGTTCATTGACTTGAATTTTAGTCCTGGCGTCCGGCTATTTTTACTATATAAACCGACATATTTTGTTGTTACTGGGCGTTTGTATCAACGTATTACGCCGCCTATGTGTGGTATTAAGCGTATGGCATTAACGAATGACCTCTGTTATGCTAGGTGAACTTGCCAATTACATTCATGATATTGTTATATGTGAACAACTTAAGGCCACATCACTCAATCGCTGTTAACTAAAGTTCATCTTTTTTGTTCACACACACAATAATGAATCAATTCAACGTGTGTACGTACTACGTAGATTCTGATAACAGCAATGTGTCACTTACTTTCAACTTAGTTTTAATGCCAATAATAGTCACTAATACTGACATAATAGTACCCCATAGCGTCACAAATAATGTTACATTTTCTCATGTATAATTCTGTATATTCCAGTCTGTGTTTTTCATAGTACGTGGCATTAAAATGCAGCCTGTCCAGTACGTTGTTTTTGTTTGCGAACCAAATCGTGTCAGTACTTGCATTGCATACATCGAACTGAGACTATTTTTGAACAAAAACGTGTGTATTGGATGCCTGTCTCACGCAGTTTTTGGATGTCCAGAATCAGTGATTATTTTAACGTACTTAGTTTGATATGATAAAATATCCATTTCATTTTAAATGTTTGTTCAAATTCACAGGTCAGGGTCAACTATGTACATCACATTGAACTGTGCGTATTGACTGAACAAGCTATTTATATGAAAGATTAGATTTTTTCTGATCAATTAACGAATCTCTCCTGTCAATCAACTTTAAATTCACCGGCTAAAATAAAATAAGTCAATTTAATAGAACATACTTGTAGTTAATTATCACGTTAATTTCATATTTTTGAAGCTACAGGGGGCTATCCTTTAAATGGTGCTAGTCGTCACTTCGTGGTATCGTATTACACTCATAGGTGAATATAAGAATATGTGGGAAACAAGGCCGAAACTAATTTTGCATTTAAAAAACAAACGCCGTTCGACCGTTACGATAATGCAAGAATGAGTCTAATTATTTCTATATAGAACCTGCTGTAGACATTCAGCTCTTGCTTGTTGTGTGCTTAGGTGCAAATCTACCAACTTGTAATGACAAAACGATGGATGCCTGTCTGTTTCTAAAGTGTTAACTATTTGCATATAAATGCATCTAACATCGTGACCTCGATTCCACGCCATTGGGACATACACTCACTATTGTAGTTTTAGCACGCCATTCCTAAACCTTTTGATGGTTCACATAAATCAGTCTTATAAATACAGGATATGGATATCGTGATATCTTATTTTATTCAAAGCATTGCGTCCCTTGTACAAAATATGTTGAAGTTAAAAGCCATATTTGTGAACTGTCGTGCGAAACCAAAACGTTCACACCGGCCAAGTTAAGGTCCTATACGGCATATCACTATACGTGACACGCGGAGTTTATACACGTACATGTATGTATGTTTACATAGTTATGGAGAGTCCCCAGAAATAAGTGTGTTAGTAATACTCACGCCTCTGATGGCCCAATACGCTAAAACAACAGGCATCGTGAGCAGTATGCAGTATTGACTTCCGAGAGTACACAACGTAGTGAACGCAAAGATGATTTCTGATTCATGTTCGCTGAAGGATTCTTGTTATGTTAATTCCCCTTTTTATTTATTTAAAAACAGGAATAAAAAATCCAACAACCTTATAACAATAATAATATTAATAAGGGCCGAGTGATCAGTAGTTCAGAAGACACTAAAACTTATTCAGAAGTAAAACTTCAGATTCAGATTCACTGCCGGATTCGTATGTGTGAATCCTTGAATATTTGTATTGTTATGCGGCAATGCTCAAAATCCGCTTATCTCGAATATTGTATACATACTTCTATGCTACATCTCCCATTATTTTTATCAGTAGCTAGTCAATGTCAGCGGTCAGGTTAGAGGGTGAATACACTGAAACCATATACTAAGGTGAGAAGAAATTTTGCAGCATGGCTTTGAAGATGTTATACCAATGTTTTCCGTTATGGTCC